GGGGGGGGGGGGGAGAATAAGAGAATTCAAAAGTTTTTATTCAACAAAAAAAAAGATCAAAATTTTTTATTCTCTTGCTTAGTTAAATGAATTGAAGCAAATAATTTGTCTAAGAGCATCTCCAACGCTACAGCATTTTCTGCGGTCAGTTTTTGCCAAAATATTACTCCAAATTTGGAGTGGCACTATTCATATATCTCCTCTGTTACTATTCATCCTTACTTTATTACTATTTTTATTATTTAACTCTTTTAATTTATCTCTTTATATATACCTAATTATGTTTATGTTATATATTTATAATATTAATTTTACATCTTAACTTTGGCGTATAATTTTGATAAATTAATTTTTGTGCATTTATTATTTTTTATATAAAATTGTAAGTTAATTTTATTATAAGTTATAATTGTACAAAAAATATATAATCATCTCAAAAAATGAATGGTGCAAATATAAAATATTAGATGTTGCTAAAATTGAAAGGTGCGAATATAAAATATTAGATGTTGCTTATAAATTATATTATTTAAAAATTTATGGTATAAAATAATTTTATATTAAATGGTTATATAAGAAAGGAATATAAATTATATGTGATGAATATGTAAGAAGGAAAAACAGATAGAATTTCTTTAATAGAAATAAAAAATAATATTTAAATAAAAGATAATAATATAATATTATATTAAAGAGAAAAGAATATAAAATAGAATATTTTTTTTGAAGTAAAAAATGAGTAATGGTTAGAGTAACTTTACTCCATTTTGGAAGAGAAAATGAAGGCAAGGTCCGGAGATTGGCCTAATATATACCTCTATTCTCCTTTGTGATCCTCCTCCATTTTTCGATGTTCGTTTATTTCCTGACTAAGTAACGCGTATCAAACTATTTTTACAGTAACTATTATATTTTTTATCAGTACGTATATTGAGTAATGCTGTCTAACAGATTTTAAAGAACTAAATAATTCATCTGTTTTTTATATATGCTTTAACCTAGAGGAAAAATTTCTTCAATATTCTTTCATTTCATTAACACGTAGACCACACTATTGATGACATCCTACACGATATTTTATAGTGTTATTTTCTCTCTTTTTGGGCGACAGGAAAAAAAGATCTAATTCTAAAGTTATCATCAGCTTGTTGTACGCTTATAACATGCTTCTGCCGCGTATAATCGTTTTTGTTAGCAAGAGAGTGGATAACCGACCCAGGTGTCAATTCGACAGAACTTGTACAAAAATACGACTACTACTAGTACAACGTACGTTTTTCTGCTGTTTCATCTTGTTCAGAATTAAACTGATTATCCCCAAAATTCAGTTTAACACAAAGAAGTTGAGCACCAAATATTTGTTAGACATGAGTGAAGTACCAAAGCAAGCTTATCCTTACCCTGCTGCAGGTGAATTCTTCTTTCTAATTTTGATTACTTGCACTTCTCTCCTCAGTTTATACTAGGTTGGATAAAAGGGCATTCAAAAATATTTACAGCCCCTAACAAATATGCATTTACAGCAGACTGAATCAGATTTAATTCTACAAGAACTGTGCCCATAATGTTTTTTCTTACTTCTTTCTCTCTTTTCCTTTTAAAAATGTAAAAACAAACATAACATGAATTGAGTTTTTTCGACTTTATGAGGCGATACCTTTAATTGCATCGCCACAAAAAGTGATAGTTTTATTGATCAAAAGAGCATATATAGATCAAACTTGTGATGTGAAATTAACAGGTTATTACAAGGGACCTCCAGTGATGGCTCCTCCAATGTATGTTGCTGCTCCCCCTCCTAGGAGGGAACCTGGTTTTCTCGAGGCTTGGTAATACATATATACTAGTACTCCCTCCGTCCCAATATATGTGTCAATGTGCTTTTTACTGTAAATATTTTGAATTGTTTCTTTTACGTAGTTTTCAAATATTTTAATTTTATTGCAAAAAACATAAGGATTTTATGTCCGAGTTCATAGTAAAAAATTAAGAAGTTTTTTCTCTCGAAATCCGATTACCGCCGGAGAGAGAGTTCTTTGGTCGTGATGACTGGGTTCTTCTTCATTTATAGGAGTAATATATTTGATGAACATGGCACTTTTACTATGTATGTAACTTCGTTGATTTTGAATTTGGTTTGCAGCCTCGCAACTTTATGTTGTTGTTGCCTCCTAGATGCTTGTTGCTGGGATCCTTTCCTCTTCATTTAGTTTTGTGGAACCCTTATAATGCAAGTAATGTAGTTCAACTTATGCTCTTTCACCTTTTTAGCTACGACATGGATCTTCTTACTTTTTTTGTATATATAAGCCACTCTCAGTGTTCGTTCTTCCAAGTGAATAAAAGAGTTATAGAGTTCTAATTTTGCTTTCTCCTTTTTGGTTTAAATTATTCAAAAATTTTCGTACACCATTATTTCAGTACTTAGAAATCCTTTTCATTACCTCAAAAACGAAAAAAACTAGATGTATCGCTTTAAATAAAAATATTCAAGAAATAACATAAAGTTTTGGAATGAGAAATTTTAATGCAAAAAGCTTTTTCATTCATTTCTTACCATCCTTTTCTTGGTTTTCTTGTGGTTCTCGATTTGTATTATTGTTTTACCATTGAGCTAATGGAAGAAAAGATAAAAGCATTTGATATGGAGACATGATATTATTGGAACAGAGAATGAAACCAAGACATGATATTTTAAACAACTCTACTATTTAAACACTATATAAGTTTGTAGTTTGGCGGTATAGCTTTCAGTGAGAACTTACAAAACTCAGTGGAATTGTGCCACAACCAAGTGCAGCAAACAAGTTTACAAGCGTCCATATACACAACATATATATCAGTCTCAGGCGTGTTTCTCCCGTTGAAATGTCTTCGAAGAGACATACCGGATATTGGTAATTAGGGAAAAGATTAATATGAAATCCCAAATCAGTTAGCTACTCCAATCGTAATTAATGGCGAGTGCAAAACACACACTTAAATTGTGCTCGCTAGTCAAAGATAATATAGTATAATATCGTATCCACACAACATTATCGTAGTTTGTAACTAGATTGCTATCCAGTCGGATCAACAGTTGATATTTATATGACTAAGAATCTAAAATCAACATATTGACTAGTGACTATCGAAACAAGTAATAAGCAATTAAGGTTATCGGTGAGAGAGGATAGGGTTTTGATGGAATAAGTGCAAGATAATCGTTCGGGATCTAACTCTATATAATTCACTTTCAATGTTCAAGTGAGTCTCGAATTCACTCTATTATTAGTTCAAACGTTTAGCAAAAATTTCTCTCTCGATTAAGTCTCAACCTCACAATATGAACCAATTTAAGCTCTGTGAACATATGTAAGAATGCGTAATGGATTGGTCTTTAGGAGAACCTCTCTTGGCTATCCTCCTAACTAGGTTTAATCAATGATTCAATTAGCCTCTTTCGATTACTTAGAAGAATCCATGAACTCAACCAATAATATAATGCAAAGATATCACAAGTTATGCCTCTTTGGATTACAAGAACAAGTAAATATAGGTGCAACAATTAAATCTTTCAAAAAAACAATTCAAATACATAAAAATAGAGTTATAATCCACAAACAATCATCAATACACCAAATTTATCAAAACCCAAATGGACCTACTCCATAGGAAAATATAAATTCAATCCAAACCCAAATCTTGAGTGAGGAAGGAAGGATGAATCCTTATACTTGTGTTCTTCCCCAAGCCTCCTTGGCCTCCTTAAGTTGAAATCTGTTAAAAAGTTCAAAAATGATGTTTTCCCCGTGTATTTAACTATCCCAAAAATAAACCCAAAACGAAAATACCGTTTTTTAGCGGAAATGGAAAGATACTCAAGATTTTTGCTAGTGGCAATTTCCAGAATAATTTGCAAAACGTTATCTGGGCACAATATGCACTGCCGCGCCACCCCATGCGGTGGGGCAGTGTAAACTTCATATAGTAATTCATTTTTTCCATGTTTTGACATTCGAACTTGGTACTCGACTCCCGAACGCGATCTCGGCTAAATCTCTTGGGCTTCTACTCAAACTTCAAATCTCCAAATAGTTCAAATTTGCTCCGCAACATTTAAATAACTCGGAATCATTCCTACACGGCATAAAACACACAATAAATGTAAAATACTACTAATTAAAGCTCAACATAAGTAAAGTGCAGTAAATTAGAGTGCTATAAGCTACTAAAATAAAGGATTATAGCCTATCATCAGTCAACAGCTTGTTCAAATACTTCACCATCAGGATCTTGTACCACAATGCTTCTTGGTAATGGCCTAGTGATGTCCATTTCCACTAACACCCCGGCATATGAAATCCTGTCAACACTAGATGTGCAGTCATCCGCATATAATGGAGTGCCCAAACTGCTACTAATTCTACTTAGTGATCTCTTACTCCAACAGTTCAATGGCAAATTTGGATACTGAACCCATATTGGAATAGTTTTCAAAACTTCTTCATGGAAATTAAATCTGGCAGGCCATGGTTTCAGTATAATAGGCCTGCTATTCATGGTATGTGGCTCAGAGTATAACACTTCATTTTTATCTTCTAAGCTATTAAAGAGAATAACAAAGTACCCCTCATTGTGATAGTAGATTCTTGGCTTATCTGTGAAGTTTCATTGAGCAACAATTAATCGTTCTAGTGCACAGATTGTGGGAGAAGCTCCAACTATATACATGATTATAGCCTTCCTCCATTTGTCATTTTCTACTTCAACCTCCTCCTTTTGAAGTTGTACCACTTTAACCCCGTCTTGAATTAGTGGCGCAATGTACTCTCCATCCCCTTCGCAGCAAATCAGTTCCCAGTAAAGAGAGTAGCCCATTTTCCCTCTTTTTCAACAGGTATGATCATAATCCCCTGCGCACCACTTGGTTCCTCTGTCGCCGACTTTTCAGCTCCTACCTCAGCCATCATTGACCATTCATTCCTTGCATTCTCTGTAGGCCTTGGGGTCTGCTCCCCAGTTCTTCCTACTGAGTTTGCATCGGAATTTTGCTTTCCTTCCACCCGAAACGGAGAGGTAAGGGTTTTTTCCATTGAAGACACATTCGAGATATGCTTTCCTTCCACCCTTATTGGAGAATTAAGGGTTTTTTCCATTGAAATCCCACCCGAATTTTGCTTGCTTTCCACCCTCATCGGAGACTTAAGGGTATTTTCCGTCGGATTAAGGGTCTTTTCCACTGGATTTGTGACTGTAATTTGCTTTCCTTCTACCCTAATCGGCGGAGTTATGGCAGTCACAAGCTTAGCTGGGGCAGTATTCATCAACACACTTACTGTAACACTAGGCCCTCCTTCGAGCCCTAGTTTGTCTTTCCCAACCAATCGACAATTGGCCTTATTCACCTTCACAGCTGAGATTTCGATCTTCTTATTGACTTGCTTAAACTTCTTGTTTTTTCGTGAATTGGATCAAATAAACAATCTTCAGTCATAATCTCGTCCTTCCAACTCAAGATCACTTGTCTAACAATCTTGATCATTAATATAGTCATACCAACTCAAGACCACTTTTCAAATAATCTTGTTACAATTCGATCGTAACATTTTCTTTTTTTTTTGTTTCATCATTCTTTATTTTTCTCAATTAAAAGACAAATAAAAACAGAGGAAAACTGACTTTCTTTATCATAGAAAGAAGAAGTTAGTCGACGTTTTAATTTAATTGGTTGCAAGAGCAACTATCTAATTTAGTGTTACATGTGTCGAGCAATTTAATCCATGCAGACGCGCATAAAATTTTAGCAATATAATAGTTTAAACATAAAGCTAATGTTGCCAGAAAACATTAAAAAATAAATTAAAATGGTGTAAAACCGTGTGAAGGGCGTGGGGGACTAATTTCTGTTATATTATATATGATGCAAGTCCATTAAATTGTGTGTGAAGTCATAGAGGACTCAATATTGACCGCGTGTCTTAGAAAACAAATCACTAATATTGGATGTTTGAAATGTGACAAAAGACGCAAAGAATCCTAAAAATCCAAGGGAATAGTAAAATATTTTCAGGTAACAAAAACATATGTGCAATTATAAAATTTACACCTATAATCCCCATTCTTAAATTAAAAAGATAAACACTGACATAAGAACTCCATCAATATGTGCCTTTTTTTCCCTTACTAAGCTTAGACATGTCTATTACTTTTAGTCTATACAATACTGTTTTTTTTTCTTTTTTGATAATAAGATGCCATTTCGTTTGAAATTTTGAAAAAGTGTTTTTGCAGAAACAGTTTGCAAACCAAACCTTAAAAAAACTGATTCCTGCAAATTCTAAACTCGCAGGACAACTTCTGAAAACAAATGAAAAAAAAAAGATCGAAAAAAGTACTTTTAAATTTTGTGAATGTATTCAGTAGAAGAAGAATTTTTCAACGAAAAAAACTAACGCTAATGATATTTTCACAAAACTAACACGAAATCGTTTTGGTCCAACCGCAACCTAAGATGCAGGGCAGCTATTCATTTTCACACATGTTTGGACCTTACAAAGCGGACCAGTAACCACCAGCTGTCAATCACGAGACTGACAAGAGTTTGGGCTGCTCCGCCCAAACAACAGGCCCAGGCCCAGCTAAACAGCTTAACCTAATTTTTTTGAATATCAAAATTGGACCCACAAACAACGCCGCCTGCAACCAAAACAAACACCTAACTAATCTACCTCGCCGGCGGACATAAAATCCGACGAGTCCTTCACGTACCCTTGCCGCCGGCTAGCCGGATCTGATCTGATTTCGTGAGAAAACTGCCGGAACACAGATCTAATAAGCTTCATGCAAAGAGATTCCCCATCGGAAAAAAAACCCTCAGAAATTGGTTTTGGGAATTTGCAGAGAAAGAAGTAGCCGGAGATGCAGAAAAAACATTGGATCTGGAATTGTAAATTTGTACTACTAAATTTTTGTAATGATATTAGAAGGTTCTAGGGAAAAGAGATAGCCGTGGGGGTTGTGAGTAGGGGGTTGGTGGGGGATGCTTTATATATAAAGAATGTGACGCCACCTACACATTAGCTAATATTTAGTTGTCTTTACTCTTTGTGGGACCCAAAAAAGTTTCATAAAAGATATAAATATTGGGTTTTTTTACTCTTTATATCTTTCGCACCCCTCTAGTGTTTGGATTCCCACTTTTGCCCTCTTCTTTGTCTACCACTAATTTGGTGCCTACAATTATCTCTTAATTTATCCTAATTGGACTTATTGCTCTATTTGTTGTTTGAGATTAGGAAACAAAGTATGTGGACTAGTTGATAGGATGATAGTTCTTCTTTACCCTTAATTTTTACTCCAACAACCAATTTTGATTTTATCTAAATTATTCGACTTCAAAATTCAAAAATAAAAAACTACAAATTAAATGTGATTTTTCTGAACTTATTATTGATTATGTAGTCACTCTGTGGGTATTTACATATTAGGTGCACGTAATGATAGAATTTTGAGAACTATATGTATACTAGATTTAAAAATATTCTTTGTATGCGAATACTAATATACATTAAATTTGGTGCAATAATACACCCTTCATTTCAATTTTATGATATTTTTTATTTTGAAATATTTTAAGATATTTGAAGAGCTTTAATAAATATCTTAACAACTTAAATCAACTTAACTTCTTATATTCTCATATAATACATGAATTAAGATAAATCATAAATTTCATGTTCAATTACACATATCACATAAAAATGAGACTTTAGGAGTAAAAAGAAAAGGTTTGTGAGGGGGTACGAGTGTGAATTTGGGAAAAGAAAAGTCGGCTTTTTAAACGTTCATGAGCACATTTACATTACAACATTAAAACAAAGCTTCCATTGTTTTGACAGGATCTTCCTGACACGTCAACACTTTTACACATGCCCTGTGCGCGTTTTGCTTCTCTTTCACGACTTCATCCCTTCCACGTCAGTCACCCACCCACCCCCCTTCCTAATTTTCCCTTTTGTGGTCCCCACCTCCTCAAAAACCCTAAATTCAGGACACATGCGACCCAAATTCACTTCAAACTCTAAACAAACCCGAACTACAACGCCACCCTCTCTTTCCCTTTTCCTATCATTCAATTTTAGAATTTCTAAAAATAAAAAAACCAGCTCTATTTAAACCCTTCCCAACTGAAACCTGATCTATCCGCCACGTGTCTAACACCTCCAATCTCACCCGTTCATGCCAGATTGTCACGGTCAGTTTTTCAGACAGCAAACAAATTAATTTTCACCGTTCGATCAGCAGTCTGGACATGATCCACGGTTTAAATACTGCCCGAACTCCGAACGGGTAGATCTCATCGCCTTTAAGAAGCGATGCCCTCCCCCTCTCATTCCTCGCTCAATCCCTTCAAACCCTTGCCTTCCAATTGGGTTCCAATATTTAAAAGATTTTTTTTCTCCTTTTTTTGTTAATCGTCGCCGGGAGGTGGTAATCGGAGATACTTTGTTTGATTCCGGCGGGCGCGTGGCCATCACGTCCCTTTCAATTTCATGATTTCAACACCACCTGATAACGATCAATTCCACCTGTGCCGGTGCAATTCATGGCATCCGCCGTCTTAGCAAGCCGGAATGAATCTAGCTGGGCTCAGTCTGGTGGTGCCGGCGGTGGATTCATGGGGAAAACCCCTTATTCTCATACACATCTGAACCCTAACTCTAACCCTAACCCTAAGAAAAAGCAGAAGCAATTTCATCACGCATCTAACGGTCGTCACAACGATGAATCGCCGGCCGTGACGCAAACCGCGTCAGATGATGCCTATTCGTTTAATCAACGGCCGATTGAATCAAGTACCAACGTTGACGGCCTCAATCTTGGAGGATATATGACCTACAACGTTGCCTCGTACAACAAAACCGAGCTCCATGAGCTACGGAGTCGGCTGGTGGCGGAGCTGGAACAGATCCGAAATCTCAAAGATCGAATCGAATCGGGTCAATTGAGCACCAGCAACCCCAGATCTCACGGCAAGTCCAAGAAGTTATCTGGAAATAAACGACCCACCCCTTCTGGATCTAGTAAAGATCGGAAAAAGCTCCTCAATGGAGTTGATAATAGAAATTTCGGCAATCCGGGTGGTGGTGGTGGTGTTAAGGGAATAATCGGAATGGAAAATATGATGAAGGAATGTAGGCAAGTTTTGGCAAAGCTGATGAAGCATAAAAGTGGGTGGATTTTCAATACCCCTGTAGATGCTAAAGCCATGGGTCTTCATGATTACCACCAGATTATTAAGCGACCCATGGATTTGGGGACGGTGAAATCCAATTTGATAAATAATTTTTACCCTACCCCTTTTGAATTCGCAGCTGATGTGAGGCTTACTTTCAATAATGCCCTTTTGTATAATCCTAAAACAGATCAAGTTCACGGGTTTGCCGAGCAACTCCTGGCACGTTTTGAGGACATGTTTAGACCAATTCAGGATAAATTGAATAAGCTTGATGGCGGAACCGGCAGGAGGGATTTTCGTGCCATAGATGAGTTGCAGGGGAGTTCTTGGAATCACATTCCTACGCCGGAAAGAGTGAAGAAACCCAAGCTTACTCCGGCCCCACACATTTCAAAGAAGCAGGAGCGAATGATGCAGAATCATTCGAGTGCTTCAACACCCTCTTTGCCAGTGCAGCAGCCACCAGACAATCCACCAGTGGTGCTGCAGCAGTCCCCATTGTCAACTCCTTCCCCAGTGAGGGCACCACCAGCGGCAAAGCCTCAATCATCAGTTGCTGCTAAAGTGCCTCCTATGGGAAAGCAACCAAAGCCGAGAGCGAAGGATCCGAATAAAAGAGAGATGAGTATGGAGGAGAAGCATAAATTAGGTGTTGGGCTGCAAAGTTTACCGCAAGAGAAGATGCCGCAGTTGGTACAGATTATAAGGAAGAGGAATGAGCATTTAGCCCAAGATGGTGACGAGATTGAGCTTGACATTGAGGCCCTTGACACGGAGACTCTATGGGAGCTTGATCGGTTTGTGACCAATTGGAAGAAGATGGTGAGCAAAACTAAGAGGCAGGCATTGATTAACAATTTGGGACAACCACCATCCGCTAGTGCTGCAGCTTCTGCTGCTACAACAACATCCGTTGCAGAGGCTGATGGGGTAATAATGCAGTATTGCATTTTTGTTAATTCTTTTGATTTGATACATATGCTGTCCCTTGTTGCATTTATCAGATTGGTAATGGAATGGCTAATAAAATTTGTTGTTGTGTTTGTTGCAGCCTAGTACAAGCGAGAAAAATGACTCCTTCAAAAAGCCCAAAAAGGGGGGTGATACTGGAGATGAGGATGATGTAGAGATAGAGGATGATGAACCAGCTACTCACTTTCCTCCTGTGGAAATTGACAAGGATGAAGGTGGTGGTGGTGGGCAGGATCGTGATAATAATGCTAGTAGTAGCTCCAGTAGTTCCAGCAGCTCAAGCAGCGATTCCTCCTCTTCTAGTGGTAAATATATATAATATATATAAGCTACTCCAACTGCAAAAAATGATCTTTTTTTGTTGTTCTGGCTCTGAAATGAGTCCAGTGGAAGGCTTTGATTAATTGAACATAACTTTTTTGTGCAGATTCTGATTCAGGAAGTTCTTCAGGGAGTGACTCTGATGCTGATGATGCACACTCCTGAGATTTGTTGGTTCAAGCATTGGCTTTTTTTGTTTTTTGAGGTATAGAGTCAGTGCCTTGAATTGTCTCTTGATGTTTTGCACATTTCGGTGAGATGAGAAGTTTGGAAGAACCTTCGTGCAGAGCTGTAACCACATGGGGGCACTTACAGAGTTTGTCTGCTTGAGAGGAAGGGGAATTGTAGTATTTGGTGACATAAAGGTTATGGCGTAGGGATCACAATTTTAGGGATTTTAGGAATGGTCCCTCTGTTAATGAGAGAGAGATATGTAGATAGTTGAGACAACACCTTTTGTACAGCAGTTCGTTACACTAATACATTTGATTGTTTTCTTGAAAGAACATCACACATTTCTTCTATTGTTCAGTTCTATCAAAACTCCCTTTCCTTTTAGCACAAGCCTCAAAGTTTACAGTTAGCTCTCGAATTTATTGGGTGAACAACGTGTTGGTTGGTGGTGAACTTGTGGAGCCACGATGAGACTTGTAGAGAATATGAATTGAATTAATTGAGCAACATGGAGAAAAAAAGAATGATTCTTCACCATGTGCTATTTTTATTAAATTCTGGACTGCACGACCTTCAAATGGGGTAAACACGTATCAGCTCCCTATTCTCTATGGGCGAAAGCACCGCAGTTTGGTTGGCCTAAGATCAGAATTTGAACAAACAAGAGAACATTGATAAATTCGACTTTTGAGGTGAAGATGTGAGATCAGTAGGGATGCTGGAATGGTATGTTATTTAATGGTTGAAACTTGAAAGGAACTTATAGCTTAGCTGGCCTTCTTCCTTTTGTTTTTTGTTCCATTTATAGGTGTAGGTACCTCTCTCTCAGCTGTGGAGTGACAATATACTTCAATGAAGTTAGCCAAATGCTGGTAGCAACTTCCTTAGTGAAGACGTAAACAATCTCCTTTCACGTGGAGGATCCCGAAATGGCAGCAATGACAGACTCGAGTCTGATTGCCCTGCTCCTTACCCATGTGAAGGCTATATATAATTAAATTTTCTGGAAAATAATAATACACAAACACACAACCATTAAGTTGTGGTTGATGTGGTATTTTGCACTAGTGCTTTATTAGGCATAATGTCACATGTGTTTGAGGCGAAGCCTTAATCCAAAGCCATTGGAGACAAGCTCAAGAAAATATTAATTAGAGTAATAGAAAATGGGTTAATTTTACAAATAAAGAAGTACAAACATTGATTCGACCTGCTAACCATAATAATTGTATGTCCGTTATAATGTTGTAAATCATCAAATTCATAGTTATGCGGTCAAAACAATTTAAGTTTTTATCATAAACTTGAAAAATTGTTAAAGAAAAAGC